GTCACCGACCTAAAAAGTAATGTAGTATAGTGGTGTCAGCATCATATCGCAGGGCCCCTTATGTCCCAGCAAACGCCTTATCTGGTGCATATCTAAGCACATACATAGTAGTTTATGGTGCATTATACACTGGTACTTCTGATACTAATTTACTTAAAATTACTTCAAATATGATTTACATGTACTCTGTAGTTTATGAAATTTTTGAGATTCCATTTTTGTCTCTTTGACATTTTTATTACAAACTTTGAAATATATGTTACAAAAAAAAAGGTTGACCTGCTTAAGCTTGATTTAGGGTGGTATTAGATCTCTCAGATTAAGTCGGCTCATGTCAGCTGTTAGTGTAACTACTGTGTACATGGCAGGGCAGAGGTTGAAATGCTGGAACCTGAGCTTTAGAGTCTAAAAGACGTTTTCAAAGGACAGACAGGGATTAGAGTAAGACGTAGTCAGAGGGTTCAAGGAAAAGTGGAAAGGGTTGCTGATAATTAGAAGGTAAGAAAAGGATGATGATAAAGGTGTAAGATGAGGAAAAGGAGGACAATGGAAGGTCAAGAAAAGGATTGTATAGAGTAGGTGATAGCATGAATTGAGGTGGCTGAGTTGAGATGAAGTCTTGGTTGAAGTGTTGGTCTGGAATCGGGTCATGAAAGAGGATTAAGGGAAGCAGGATACAAAAAAAAGATTACTTAATTGAGGCATCAGGTGGAAAGGAAGTGATTGACTTGTAATCATATGGCTGTCTATTGATATATATATAGGGGTCTTTTGAGTGGAACAGAGGTCAAAGGAGTACTTAATTTAAAGAAAAGGCCAAAGGTCAAAGGAAAAAGTAGAGGTCAAAGGTGGAAAGAAGGTTCAATGGAGGGGTAAAGGTCAAGGGAGGGAGCACAGGTCAATGTATGGAATAAAGATCAAGGAAGAGGGCAAAGGTCATGGGTGAAGTAGCAGTCATAGATGAAAAGAAGGGGTAGGATCAAAGGTTATGGTATAGGTGAAGGCTAAGATATAGAATGGTAGAGAACAAAGGTCAAGGGAGAGAGCAAAGTTTAATTTATGGAAAAGATAGAGCAGAGGTGAGAGAGGAGGTCATGGATGGGAAAAACCATTATGGGAGGGGCAAAGTACAAGGTATAAAGCAAAGGTCAAGAGAGTGAACAAAGGTTAAAGTATGGCACAATGATCAGGGGAGAAAGCAAAGATCAAATAACTGAGTAAAGGGCAAAGACAGGAGCAGCATTGGGAGCAAAAGTCAAGGAGGGAAGGAGAAGAGGGATGGAGAAGAGGGAAGGGATTAGAGATCAAGTATGGAAGTACAGTGTGAAGGAGGGACCAGAGGAAGCCTAGGTTAAGTAAGCTAGGTGAGGTATTGTAATGGAAGTATATCTGGTACTGTTGTATTGGTAGCAATCTGATCTGCATTCCTGGGACAGAATTTAAGGTCAAGGTCAGATGTCAAAGTCCAAATTTAAGACACTGAGAAGGCCAATGAAGGCATTTTGGTCAGTAATGAGTCTGGACAAGGTGGTAAAAGGGATGAGGATGTTGAAGGCAATGTGAAATTATCAAGCAGTTGAGGATAGAGAAGTTGACAGTTGATGAGGCAAGTAAAACAAAATGGAGGGTGGAAGGTCAGGTCATTTGAGGATTGGAACAGTGGTTGAAGATGAAGATGTATGTAGGTCGATAGGATAAAGTACACAATTATATCTGTGTAGACCGCAATTCAAAGTGACGTTTACTCCTTAAAGTCTGAAACAGGTGTTCTTTTGTGGTAAACCTTGTTTTTTTCATCCCAATCTTTTCAATTGTTGTAAATAATAATGAACAGAAAGGATCTACATCATTATTGAACTTAAAGATTAGAACATGATCAGAATGAGAACTGGATGACCTGAACTGTATGTATGGTATAGTAAGAGATTCCATAGACACGCAGTCTAAACGGAATCTGTCAATACACACTACAAAGGTAGAGTCTGCAAGGATCTTAATCAACATCCTTGTCACCAGGGTAGAGATCTGATTTCATGGCTCACAAGAATAAAATTGATACAGGATTGTAAAAGTTTTAGAGGCCTCCTACTGGTGATGTAATCGAAGAAGTTGATCTGAACAGATCAGAGTGATAGACATCTTGTAACAATAATGTGGCTTCTATAGTTGGGAGGAGTTGGTTGATCTGTTGGATGGCTGGGAATTTAGGGTTATCAGATTTTGCATATGAATTCTTTCTAGGTACTGATTAGAGGATATCCTTACTCACAAGTTATGTAATTAACCAGGATATCCTTACTCACAAGTTATGTAATTAACCAGGATATCCTTACTCACAAGTTATGTAATTAACCAGGATATCCTTACTCACAAGTTATGTAATTAACCAGGATATCCTTACTCACAAGTTATGTAATTAACCAGGATATCCTTACTCACAAGTTATGTAATTAACCAGGATATCCTTACTCACAAGTTACGTAATTAACCAGGATATCCTTACTCACAAGTTATGTAATTAATAAAATATCTCAATGATAGATTTTATCATTAACATTTTTGAAAAGCAAAGTGAAAGATATTTAAGTAAATTACATCAAAAAGGCATGATGGGTAACAAAATTGTGATCATTGATGCAAGGATATATACTACTACTGGTATACTGTATTAAATGATCTTAGAAGAGTTATCTCCCTTTAAAAGTTTGATTCATGTCATAATGTTTTAAGCACAGTGTATGGCATCATTTCATTGTTAGCTAGCATGTACTCTTAAGTTGAGGACTCAATTACGTTCTATATTTCAGAGTCAGCTTGCATATACCCTCAAGTTTAGAACTCCAATACGATCCATATTTCACTGTCAACTTGCATACACCCTTAAGTTAAAATCTCAATTACAATGTACATTATATGGTGAGGTTACATTTAATAGTGATTTAAATATGCCTATTGTTACATCATAAGTGTTGTAGTACTTGTAGTAAGATTATGTTAGTGATAGTGAAATAAAAAGTTTCAAGACTCTTAAACTTGCTGTTAAATAATGGTGTCATTTCTTACAATGATTCTCTACAAGAGGAGACTGTACATTTGTGCTAATACCCAATATCCTACTCATTTTTTCATAAACTGCTATGAAATACAACTATCATCACAGAGAGCTCTGACATAATAAACCACACAAGTGTGAGATTCTAATCTAGTGTACATAAGAAAACATAAGTGAAGAACATTAGGAGGAGACCTTAGGTCTCTGTAGTGCTGGCCTTGTTACGACATATCAGGTTACTGATACATGTGTGTGTCCCACTCCCCAGGTGTTCTGTTACCTGCCCCCTCCCCATCAGGTGTGTTCCGGGTGATGTACCACCATACATGAAGGGCCTATGTTGTATGGGGTGGCCTTGGCTGTTCATGATATCAAACTTACACCTTTAAAGACGCTCAAAGGTTTTAAGGGTTTGTATTGTATAAAAGTCAGTAAGGTGTGGAAGCACTTCCTTAAACAAATGGCAGACGCTTCAGGGATTGATCTGTCCTTTGTAATGTGCCAGTGAGGTATGTAACCGAACCTGAGTGTGGATATCTGGGGCCGACATCCCAGTATTAACCTTTTCTGTCTCTATCATTTTGATACCATTTTATACCGCCGCTGGAGAAAAGTCGCTTACATCCTACAGTGTCACTTGGGGCAATCTGTGCACTTTTCTTTCATAGTGATACCCATGGAAAAATTACCAGTGCTATTTAAGGTAAATGAGACTTTTCTTAGGAAATCATGTACTTACAAAAACTATGCAAATATCAATAATTTTTGGATGTAAAAAATGAAATATCTTATCATTTTAGCCTTGTATGTTTTTTGTTGGCAGAAATGTATAAATTGTACTTTTTCTGCCAACAATAGTGTGTGTTTTTAATTGAATCATATATAGAACTTTATCATATAAAATAAGATGATGCAGTGATCATTTAGTGTATCAGCCAATCCTATTCTCTATGAAGAAATTCTAACACACCAGTTTACTGTATTATAGATAGCTTCATATACCTTATTATTGTTAAGGCTTTCTTGTATTTATAAGATAGATGTCTGTGTGTTATACTACACAATAGACAGGTGAGTAACAACTTATAACAGGTGTGCTCAACGTTAAAGGCCACTAACCTGTTGTTTAAGTTAAACCTCGAACCTTAAATCAGGTGTGAAATTACACTGCACAACTGTTAACCAGGACACGATGGCCTAGATCAGTTGTCTTGCTGCCTCAGATACTTCTGTTTTTTGTGTGTGTTTTTACAGAGATTCATTGCTAATGTGATGTGATACTCTGCCTTACAGATTTTTTCCCCGACAATTGAGCAGTTTTCGGTAAACGAATATTTTTAGACAATACTGTTCTCTTGTTAAATGATTAATCTGTGGAAGGAACTGTGCTGTAATCTAATTTGCTTGCCAATGTTCTGTGGTGTTACAGATACCTGACCACTAATTAACAGGTACAATGTCACACGTATGGTCGTCAGATATGTGACCACTAATTAACAGGTGCAATGTCACAGGTATGGTCGTCAGATACCTGACCACTAATTAACAGGTGCAATGTCACACGTATGGTCGTCAGATATCTGACCACTAATTAACAGGTGCAATGTCACAGGTATGGTCGTCAGATATCTAACCACTAATTAACAGGTACAATGTCACACGCATGAATATTCGACACAGCTATCTGATCACTATCAGGTGCGATGTCACATGTATAAATGTCGCAGACATCTGACCACCAATTAACGGGTACGATTCACAATTCCACAATTATTTGTCATAGCCATTTGACCACTGATTAACAGGTATGATGTACGATGTCACATATACAGTCGTCTGAGACATCTGACCACTATATACAGGTATGATATATAATGTGACATTAATGGTCATCAATGACATCTAATCAGTAATTAATAAGTGTTGATTTTGTTTTATTACAGACAAGATGTGCGTAGCCAGACTTCGAGTGATTCGTTGTTGTCGCTCCCTCCAACAGCTCTTTGTTGTCATGGTAATTTTGGCCAGTTTTTCCACCTTACTTACCTATCAAATTGGGACTTACCTCCCTTGGACAGATTCAAAAGGTACAAGAGTGCAGAATCCTCAACCCCCAGGGCTGGAAAATCATCGCAAAGTTGGTAATATACCCGTTCCTCGACAACAACAATTGGAGGATCATCACAAACATAGACATCTGTCCCAGGCTTCAAAGTCAGCTCAGATTCTCACCAGGCTCCTACAGGTAAATCTCACAGATTCTCACCTGTGAATTTTACAAATTCTCACCACATTCTTACAGGTAGATACTAGTGCAGGTAAATCTCACTGACACCCACCAACCTAGTGCAGGTAAATCTCACTGACACCCACCAACCTAGTGCAGGTAAATCTCACTGACACTCACCAACCTAGTCAAGGTAAATCTCACCGACACCCACCAACCTAGTCAAGGTAAATCTCACCGACACCCACCAACCTAGTCAAGGTAAATCTCACAGACACCCACCAACCTAGTCAAGGTAAATCTCACCAACACCCACCAACCTAGTCCAGGAAAATCTCACAGACACCCACCAACCTAGTCCAGGAAAATCTCACCGACACCCACCAACCTAGTCAAGGTAAATCTCACCGACACCCACCAACCTAGTCAAGGTAAATCCCACCGACACCCACCAACCTAGTCAAGGTAAATCTCACCGACACCCACCAACCTAGTCAAGGTAAATCCCACCGACACCCACCAACCTAGTCAAGGTAAATCCCACCGACACCCACCAACCTAGTCAAGGTAAATCCCACCGACACCCACCAACCTAGTCAAGGTAAATCTCACAGACACCCACCAACCTAGTCAAGGTAAATCCCACCGACACCCACCAACCTAGTCAAGGTAAATCTCACAGACACCCACCAACCCAGTCAAGGTAAATCTCACCAACACCCAACAACCTAGTCAAGGTAAATCTCACAGACACCCACCAACCTAGTCAAGGTAAATCTCACCGACACCCACCAACCTAGTCCAGGAAAATCCCACCGACACCCACCAACCTAGTCAAGGAAAATCCCACCGACACCCACCAACCTAGTCAAGGTAAATCTCACTGACACCCACCAACCTAGTCAAGGTAAATCTCACCGACACCCACCAACCTAGTCAAGGTAAATCTCACTGACACCCACCAACCTAGTCCAGTAAAATCTCACTGACACCCATTTAACTAATAAAAAACCTCAGATCTAATAATTTCTGGAAACCTTAACTGTAAAGTTTACAGGTCTGATGACCATTTTATTTCTAGAAAGGAGGAGTGATGGCAACAGAGATACATTAAGTTGAGTTTATTGACATGAATAAGACCACATACTTGTATGCTGCACACATGGAAACTAGATTTTTAGAAACGATTTATACCTCCCATTCCTTGGTGTTCGAGAATGAACATGAAAGAGATTATTTTAAAAAATGGTCTCCTTGTTGAAATCATAATAAATGAAATCTTTGTAATGTTTTTACACAACTTTTGTAAATGACATATAATACTTGGTTTTTTATTTAATGTTATTTAGATATATTGTTAGACATTTATTATATTAAATACATGTTGGATGTGTTGTAACTATAATATATGAAAAATGTTTTGGGTAATGAGAAACACCATTACACTGGCCTGTTGTTAGGTATTGGGTGGGATCAATGTGAAGCCATTGTTGGAAAGAAATCAAAAACAGCATTCATAACTGTCAGTATCATTACTAGTGTAGACGAGGCAGAGAGGTTTTCTTTGGGGTGTTCGAGTTCTGAGAACACTTACCATAATATTGGTATAGATGAGGCAGAGAAGTTTTCTTTGGGGTGTTGGAGTTCTGAGAACACTTACCATAATATTGGTAAAGATGAGGCAGAGAAGTTTTCTTTGGAGTGTTCGAGTACTGAGAACACTTACCATAATATTGGTAAAGATGAGGCAGAGAGGTTTTCTTTGGAATTACCGAGTTCTGAGAACACTTACCATAATGTTGGTATAGGTGAGTCAGGGAGATAGTCTTGAGAGTGTCAGGCTTCGGAGCACACTTACCATAAAACTTTAAAAATGTTTGAGTTGGGACACTTAATTTCTTTAGTAGATATTCTTCAAAGAACCAGGGTTCTGAGAACATTCACTGTAATATCAGTAGTGGGTGGGCAGGGAGATTTTCTTCAGAGTATCTGGTTTCTGAGAACATTTACCGTAATATCAGTATTGGTGGGGTGGGGAGATTTTCCTCAGAGTATCAGGATTCTGAGAACATTTACCGTAATATCAGTATTGGTGGGGTGGGGAGATTTTCCTCAGAGTATCAGGATTCTGAGAACATTTACCGTAATATCAGTATTGGTGGGGTGGGGAGATTTTCCTCAGAGTATCAGGATTCTGAGAACATTTACCGTAATATCAGTATTGGTGGGGTGGGGAGATTTTCCTCAGAGTATCAGGATTCTGAGAATGTTTACCGTAATATCAGTGGGTGAGGCAGAGAAGATTTCTCCTGTATCAGAGATATAGTTTGGTGAATATGATTGATATGCTGTATGTTGATATACTGGATTATGTTTAAAACTAAAATAGAAATCTTGCTGGAGTTTTTACACTTAGACTCACTTCACACCAGAAACACAGTTATCACGTGTCCCCAAGGTCTTAGGCATAGAGAGTGCTGAACTTCCTGGTGTTTCTCTGATGTAGAAATTAGTTAAAAAGGAGTATCCATCTTGACTAGTTCCTGGTATCATTCACTCAGAACTGAATAAAGTATTTCTGTGTCCATTTGCTTTTTGGTTGTTTTTGTTTGTTTTTTTTTTTGAGATTCAGATCTGTTCAAATATTGATACAAATTACATGACATCTGAGAATTATGCCAAACAATCGTGGCTGTCTTCATCCTGCTTAACACCAGTTTTTTGATACACAGCTTATTTATTTAAGATTTTAGTATACAGAGACCTTTCACAAAAACCTTTAGGTATTAAATGCTTTTGAACTAACGGGGCCAGTTTCTCATACACCATGCCTGTTTATATGCGATACATGTGTCTAATTTATGATATTAAGAAATACAGTGTTTTGTAGCAGCAGGTTTTTGCTGATTGCTATGATAAGTGGTAGAGAGTTGGGTGTTTATTTATCTACATTTACACAACTACAGCTGGGCAATCCATGCATGTGGATGACAACAGGTTATCTAGGTATCTAGCAGAGAAACAAGCTGGCTGTTTGTGACATTATGTGGAACAGAGATTCGTTAAGTGGTGCTCAGTGATTGGAGTATAATCTAAAATTTCAATGTCCGCCTCATTTCCTACTTGGATATCTGCCAAAACTTACAGCTGATTTAATGAATTGACAAATATTTTGTGGGTGCATCTATATAACAAAAGTTTAACTATATAGAATTTAGTAACATTACATAATAGTGAGATAGGTTTAATAATACAATATAATACAATATTTAAACAATAAACCATATTTTTCAAAGGCACAATGTTTAGGATTATTAACCAAAAGTTAACACAGTCAGGTTTAATAAAAAAATCTAGCAGTATTATAGTATGAAGACGATTATAAAATTTGGTATGCCAGCAAATTAAGCTTATAGAGTAAAATTTGGTTTAAAAAGTGAAAATAAGTGTTATAAAAATTTGGTATGAAAAGCAACAGGTTTTACAGAATTGTCTAGGGTGAGTCCACACAATTAAGATATTGTTAGTGTACAGGTGAGGCTCGGACACAACAGGTAATTAATAGATGACACAGGTGACATATGACAGAAGATGGGCTTGACCTTCCTGTTCATGACCTGTAGATGGCCAGAGGCTGACAATCGTACCATAAACATTCCCTTGGGTGGAGTGTTATGATCAGTGGTCAATGTTATTATGATGTACGATAGAAATTGATGAAGTGATATAGTGTTAGGTAGATGTCTGATAGATTTATAACTAAAGCATTCTAAGGAATTTATCAATAAGTTGACACATGGCAACATAACACGCAATATATTTTTGTAGAGCTCCGTTTTCATGGTTTTTCAAAATAATATATTTCAGAGTACCGGTAGTTTATTCATCTATAAAATTGATGAAGAAACAAGCAAATGAATTTTATAATACTAAAAATTCATGACAAATTTTTAAATTCAATTTTAAGATGAAACCATGGATTTGGGATGAAGTTCCAATACACTATATGATCACAAAAGTTAAACCCTCAAAATCTGACCATTTTACAGTATTTTTTTAACTATGTTGTCTAGGTTGATCTTTCATTAAATACTTGTGTCCCTGTTTCAGCAGACAGTGATGTAGATATATGTACAGGTAAAATTTAAAACTAATATAACTGCTTCAATCGTCCAGGAAAGTAATATTTTACCTTAAAGGGTGTAGAAGTTCTGTCCATCCAAGGGTAGGGTTTTATCTTATATCCTTATCATTAGGTACCCCAGTTCTACACCTGAGTGTAGGGTTTTATCTTATATCTTTATCATTAGGTACCCCAGTTCTACACCTGAGTGTAGGGTTTTACCTTATATCTTTATCATTAGGTACCCCAGTTCTACACCTGAGTGTAGGGTTTCATCATATATCTTTATCATTAGGTACCCCAGTTCTACACCTGAGTATAGGGTTTCAACATATATATGTATGATTAACTTTCTTTTCAGAATTTTCAAGACACAGTAATTTATTGTAAGAAATTCTAAATCAAGTTTTTGTGCTGAATCTTTGAAATAGGTTTGATCCTTATGTTCTAAAAATAAAAAGACCTTTTCTATGACATCAAATTCAGACAAATTTTAAAGAGAATCCAGTACTGATTTGGTACTGAAACATATTGAACTCAAACCTTTTCATTTACATTCTTCTGATGAGAGAAGATAAAAAAAATACCCTTTACTTAAATTGAATATCCTGTTAGTTTTAAATTCTTCTTTGTAATGATACGGGAAAGGAAGACTTTATTTGTATATAAGATTGGTGTTGTGGTTCCTACCTCCTATTTCTAGACAGTAAAACTTTGTAGAACTCCAACAAGTCATATTCTGACCACCTTCAGAAGGGTTCTGTTTGGTTGATCTTCCTGAATCAGACACAAATATATCTACTGTGTTATAAAACAAGGACCTAAAGATTAAAACTGTGTTCCCTTCTTTACAGCTAGAGGACCAGCTAATCGCTGTTTCCAATCGACGGAAGGTTCTTGTGCTAGGATCCAATGAGAGTTTCTCACCAGAAGCTGACACCCTCAGAAGATCCTTTCATGAAAATGACCTCAAAATGGTTGCCAACATTGGTGAGTTTTGTATGCTTATTTTGAACTTGAAGAGATTTAATCTTTTTTTTTTTTTTTTTGCATCACGAGTGAAATGGCGAGTAATAGTCCCTATTTCTATGTACTGTGGATTGAAAACCTGTGTTAATTCAACTCACTTCATTTGTGATCATTTTGTGATAAACATATATTTCTTTTCAGAAATATCAAAATAGCATAATTCTCATCTTTAGTGTGGAAAAAACTTGTAGTTCTGTGATACTCTATATATCTAACAATAAGCCCATGACTGGCAATAAGCCCACCCACATCTTTTTACCTTCCTGTAAAAACTTCATTATTGTGCGAATAAGGCCCATCACTACAGAGTTTCTGTGTAGGCTCGATGGGCTTATTACAGGACAAATACGGTACTTCTTAAATATTGGTAAACATCCTGTTAGAAATGCTGTGAATTAATCCATTCTGCGATCTGAGAATATTTTACTGACGCTGTTTATAGTGTTATTCGTTTAATTTGTTTATCTTTTCCTACATCTGTGTCTCTTCAAATCTACGAGAGATGAAAGAGTGGTTTTGAAAGGTGTGAATGTGTAGAAGATTTCACCACTGATAGTAATCTCCATTCATTGATGTACTGGTGTGGTACACAGGTAGAAATTGGTGGCCTTGTCGGGTGGTATTCTTTCCATCACAGAGTTGAGGCCTTTTGAAAAATAAAAGATATTTGTTAAGAGTTAAAGATTCCTGGCGTGAAATTGTAAACAGATATATCACTTGTTCAATGTTCATGTAGTTTGTAACTGTGATGAATGACAAATTGACAGGGATGATTTATGGAAATTATGTTAAAAGATTTAGAATTAAATATAAAGTGTTTCTGTAAAGTGTGACAACTTTTCTGTATTACTGACACACCAGTACAACTGTATACAACGTAGCACAGTCAAATGTATCTTATATATTGGGAAATATCCAGGTTTAACACTGTAGGCTTTTTGTTTTCCAAGACTGTGGTGATATATTATGTACCAGTTATCACTACCTATAGATATATATATAATATTTACCAGAAAAATGTACATCTTACCAGTGAAAAGAGAATTCAGGGGACGTAATTTCCCTAAGTATATAGAATCCATATATAAAGTCTAACTTAATTGTTTCAAAGTTTTTAGGATCTAGAGAAACTGTCGAGTATTTCTATTAATCATAACTTGTTTAAAGAAAAGAAAGTATGTACTAACGCTCTGAGATAAACACGGCCTTCGAGTTATTAGCAAGAGTTGGACATGATGAAGTATGACCTTCTGAGGATATATAATTACAGGGATTACAAAAATAACATGTACAAATGTATTGTGATGCGTTACTGTAGATATTTTCTAGCCCACCATCATCAGATATTCCTTCAGTTTCGTGTGTGGGTTTCCCTTTATCCCTAGTTGTGCCTGTTTGATTTTGATACTGATCAGAAAAACAAAATGGCTGACAGGTGGACATTTTGGATTTTGACTTTGAAAGTTTGTTATCGCTATTTGTTGAGAAATACTGCATTTATCTTCCTCATATTTCCATGTATAGGTTCCTCTTGGTTACTAGTTGTGCCTGTTTGATTTTGGAACTGATCAGAGAAACAAATGGCTGACAGCCATCATAGATTTCACCTAGTAAAGATTGTTATCCCTATTTCTTAAGAAGTGCTGAATGGACCTGTCTCAGATTTCATATGTAGGTTCCCTTTGGTCTTTAGTTGTGCCCACTTGATTTTTTGGACTTATCAGGAAAATAAAATGACTTCCAAGTGACAATTTTGAATTTGGCAGTTTAAAGATTATCATCACTATTTCTGCAAAGGGACATTCAAATTTATTATTATTAAGAGCAAAAACAGAAAAGAGCAGAGAAAAGAATGGAAAATATCCAGTTTTCAAAGATCTTCTTGGACTTCTTGTATGTATGTTTATATATATATCTGTATGTAACTGCATTTTTTCTAGAGAGACCTGGCGTGCCAATCAATTTGGAGAAGGACACAAGCTTATCAAGGGAATGGTCCATGATCTGGTGTCTATCTCACAATTGTACCTCCAACTTACTACGACATATCTACCAGCTGGTGAGTCTTACCCTGTCATTATCTGGTGTCTATCTCACAATTGTACCTCCAACTTACTACGACATATCTACCAGCTGGTGAGTCTTACCCTGTCATTATCTGGTGTCTGTCTCACAATTGTACCTCCAACTTACTACGACATATCTACCAGCTGGTGAGTCTTACCCTGTCATTATCTGGTGTCTGTCTCACAATTGTACCTCCAACTTACTACGACATATCTACCAGCTGGTGAGTCTTACCCTGTTGTTATCTGGTGTCTGTCTCACAATTGTACCTCCAACTTACTACGACATATCTACCAGCTGGTGAGTCTTACCCTGTCATTATCTGGTGTCTGTCTCACAATTGTACCTCCAACTTACTACGACATATCTACCAGCTGGTGAGTCTTACCCTGTTGTTATCTGGTGTCTATCTCACAATTGTACCTCCAACATACTGTGACATATCTACCAACTACCATGTAACCGATTTGTTGATATCAGTGGTTTAATGAAGATGCAAAAACAAAATATTAACTAACACTCTCGAAAAAGAAATTGTTCAGTTGTTTTAATTTTAACCATATTGATCCCTTACTTAGTCTAATATGCCTGCTTACAAATCCTGACTCATGAGACAGGAGGTGAGCTGATTGAGGGTTTTACTTCATTAATTTTAATTTTGTATATGCATCTTACAATTGTGTCAGGTTAGAGTGGAATTTTTTTAACTAATGAAATAATTTGGTATACTCTACTTACCTTTCACGCAAAATGTTGAGCTCATGTACAGTCTAGATAAATGTTGTTACATTGATATCAAGGTAAACTGGATACCTACCCTATAACAGATATAAATGTTGTTATGTTGGATACCTACCCTATAACAGATATATATGCTGTTATGTTGATATCAGGTAAACTGGATACCTACCCTATAACAGATATATATGCTGTTATGTTGATATCAGGTAAACTGGATACCTACCCTATAACAGATATATATGTTGTTATTATCTGATATATATGTTGTTATGTTGATACCTACAGGTAAACTGTCTATCTACCTACCCTATAACAGATATATATGTTGTTATGTTGATATACCTACTCCAACTTACCTATAACAGATATATATGCTGTGTTATGTTGGATACCTACCCTATAACAGATATAAATGTTGTTATGTTGGATGGACCTACCCTATAACAGATATATATGCTGTTATGTTACAATTGTACCTCCAATATATATGCTGTTGTTATATCTAATACCTACCCTATAACAGATATATATGCCATATCAGGTAAACTGGATACCTACCCTATAACAGATATATATTTATGTTGATATCAGTTGGTAAATATAAAATACCCTATAACAGATATATATGTTTTTCTGTGTATTTCTGTTACACTTGAGATCTTCCGTATAACAGATATATATGTTGTTATGTTGATATCAGGTAAACTGGATACCTACCCTAAACAGATATATATGTTGTTATGTTGTTATAATTTTAACTGGATACCTACCCTATAACAGATATATACTTAGATATATATGGATACCTGATATATATGTTGTTATGTTGATATCAGGTAAACTGGATACCTACCCTATAACAGATATAAATGTTGTTAGTTGATATCAGATAAATGTATGATATATATGTTGATTACTATATATGTTGTTATGTTGATATCAGGTAAACTGGATACCTACCCTATAACAGATATATAATGTTGTTATGTTGATATCATTAATTTATAATTTTGTATATGCATCTTATAACAATATATATGTGTTATCAGGTTATATATATGGTTATTTTGATTTAACTAATATAACAGATATAATGTTGTATATCTAAACTGGATACCTACCCTATAACAGATATATATGTTGTTATGTTGATATCAGGTCATGTACAGTCTATATAAATGTTGTTATGTTGATATCAGGTAAACTGGATACCTACCCTATAACAGATATAAATGTTGTTATGTTGATATCAGGTAAACTGGATACCTACCCTATAACAGATATAAATGTTGTTATGTTGATATCAGGTAAACTGGATACCTACCCTATAACAGATATAAATGTTGTTATGTTGATATCAGGTAAACTGGATACCTACCCTATAACAGATATAAATGTTATGTTGATATCAGGTAAACTGGATACCTACCCTATAACAGATATATATGTTGTTATGTTGATATCAGGTAAACTGGATACCTACCCTATAACAGATATAAATGTTGTTATGTTGATATCAGGTAAACTGGATACCTACCCTATAACAGATATAAATGTTGTTATGTTGATATCAGGTAAACTGGATACCTACCCTATAACAGATATATATGTTGTTATGTTGATATCAGGTAAACTGGATACCTACCCTATAACAGATATAAATGTTGTTATGTTGATATCAGGTAAACTGGATACCTACCCTTGCCAGTCAGTTGATGTCACCTGCCAAACTGTGTCTTGCCCAGACCTCATTACAAAATATCCTGGATGGTAAGTTTCATTTTTGCACATTTGGGGTTCTTTATAGATGTGAATATCTTCTACATAAAGACATGTCCTTCTTCATCTTAAAATTAAGTCAGTTATAAAATTAGTGATACATTTAAAATTTCAGTTCTGATAGCCTCATTGGGTTGATAAGGAATAAGCAGAAGACATCCATTGAATATTGGAGTTTTATATCTAACTTATTTGCACGTCATCTGACCCAAAGTGTCATGATGACCTTTAGCCATCATGTTTTGCCTTTTGTCCAATGTAATATGTAAACTTTTCAAGTTTGAAGTTATTTTAAACTTGCCTTGTATGAACCTGAAATGACCGAAAAAGTTGTTAATTTTTGGATTGGTCTGTTGGGTCTGGATTGGTCCCAAATCCAAAATGGCCTCTACATCTTGAAACAAGTTTTTCCAATGTAATTACCGTAGCTGAAACTTATCAAGAATGATCCTGTGATGACCATGTCTGAGTGTTGTTAATTTTTGGGTTGGTCCAAAATCACCTCTGAAGCCACCATCTTGAAATACACATTTCAAGAAAAAAAAAAAAAAGTTTTTTTTTGGTGGCATGGTCTGAATTTACATTTTTGCAGGCACATTTATATTGATATATTTTATATAGAATAGAAATCATTGTCTGCAGAAGCCAAAGAAGGCAGAAAGGATAAGCGGACAGTCTTGTTTTTATCAATTTTTGAAAAATATACTTCTATAGAAGTACAGTGGCCACTTTGTACCATGATTGTGCAATCAATTGAGGGTGCCAAATTTTATAATAGACCCTTCAATCATGAGTACCTTCGTTACAAATAAACACTGAAGATTAGGTACTCAGCGTGGGCTGTAAAAGCATTAAGAAACAGCATATGTATTCTAAATCAAATTGCTTATGTTTTCAAAAAGATAAATAGTTTGAAAGGAAAACACTTGTTTATAAATGGACCTGATGGTTAAGTTGATGTTATGGATCCTAACTAGAATTTGAGTGACGACTTCCCTTGGTGTACCTGTTGATGGACAGGTATAAGCTGATTTGGAATATTTACATACACACACCCATGACATACAGTTCCTTGTAACCATAAACCTTTAGCTGCTTACATCAACTGAGGGCTTTATTTATCATTTCTCAGTACGTCATAACAGTTGGTGGAAGTTTGGTAAATCTGCCAAGATTTCTCACACTAAATCCTATATACAACCTAGAACTGTTAGGAGGACGTCTGTTTGTATAACTGACACAATATCTGGCTGCTGTCCATAAAAAATGACTGATGACATCAAACAAAAAATCTCATCAACCAGTTTTATGTAGCTGTATGTATCTATATCCACAATTCGTACTTGGTGTATAAATTTTGTCTCTCTGTTTCTGTCACTTTTATCTGTCTTTCACAACCATCTGTCTCTTTCCACATTTTTGTAGACATGTGATATTGTGTATTCAGGAAATACAGATAATTTTCATGGTTTTACTCTTTTCTCTTTCAGAGCTGTCTCTTTATTTACAGACAGTCTTCTGTTTATAACTTTTAAGTCCTTTTATAGAGCTGTCCCTCTACAGTTCCTGTAAAGACAGTCTGCCTATAACATTTGGTCCTCTCACAGAGCTGTCCCCCTATAGTTTCTGTATAAACAGTCTGTCTATAACTTTTCATCCTTTTTCAGAGTTGTCCCCCTATAGTTTCTGTATAAACAGTCTGTCTATAACTTTTCATCCTTTTTCAGAGTTGTCCCCCTATAGTTTCTGTATAAACAGTCTGTCTATAACTTTTCATCCTTTTTCAGAGTTGTCCCCCTATAGTTTTTGTATAAATAGTCTGTCTATAACTTTTCATCCTTTTTCAGAGTTGTCCCCCTATAGTTTCTGTATAAACAGTCTGTCTATAACTTTTCATCCTTTTTCAGAGTTGTCCCCCTATAGTTTTTGTATAAATAGTCTGTCTATAACTTTTCATCCTTTTTCAGAGTTGTCCCCCTATAGTTTTGGTGTCTGTCTATAACTTTCCATTCTTTTTCAGAGCTGTCCCCCTACAGTTTCTGTATGGTGATGTCTGACTCTAAGACTCTGCTGCAGCCCCCAAAGTATCCTAGTCCTAGCCTCGAGTATGCTATCACACCACGCCATTCCAGACTGGATGATGTAACGGTTACCAGACTGCTACATCAAACACAAATGTAAGATATGCATTGTTTTCTTTTATTGAATAACTCAAATGAAATGATAATGGATGTCACTCGCCATGAAGACATATGTTTGTTTGTTTGTTTGCTTTAGTGATATACAGTAAATACTAACTAGCAGTTATATTTCAGATATCGTGGTGATTGTAAACTAACATTCATTGACACAGGATTGGTTGAAATTCAGTTGTATCAATTGAATATTGATATATGAAAAATATAATGATAAAAAAGTTAATTCAGAACATATAAGAATGTTATGGTTTTATTCAACAATTCTTTAATGTTTTGAAACTGTGAAATTTTGAATGTGAAACTGTGAAGTTTTGAAGCTGTGTTGACTTGATTTCAGACATCTAGAGAAAGACACAGTAGTGTGGACTTCACCCCGAGGTTTTCTATTGCTTGGAAACCATTCTCTAGCTTTACGACTCTCAGTGTTGGTCTCTTCCTTGTCCCCACTACGGGTTTATCTCCATCCCAAGGGATCACGGCTGGGACAGCAGTCTTTTAAGGTTAGGACTTTTTCTCACTTTTGTATATTCTTTCCTGACCCCACCACTGGTCACACACTAAAATAATTCTGTGGAACTCATTATTTGGGTACACCAACCCAACACAATCACTGTAGACACCTTTTGATATATAAGATTCTGCCCTTTCTATTTTCAATAAATATAAGTTTGAAAGTACTTGGTTTGAGTCATTAGCACAAAGCTTAACATCACCCTTCATAAAAATTATATATTCAATATCACAAACACATCATGAAGGATCAGAAAAAAAAGTTTCTCCTGGGATTAAACTAGTGAAATTGAATACCAAACAGGTTTTTAAAACCAACTAACTCCAAAACAAAAAAAATGTAACATCTAAATGTCAATAAAGTGTTTGTAATACCAACTGTTACACCGTTACAGGAGCACAACACTATACTGACAGTCCGCAGGGCCATCACACAGGAGTACGGTCAACAAGCTGCCACCAAGTGGTGGCTCAATTTACAACACAAACTTGTGGCTCTTCTTCTCAGCACAGAACTTGACACACACACAAGTAATGATTCTGAGGCTTGTGGGTAAGTACACATCCAGTCTAAAAATAAAGGTTATGAAATTTTATTGAATAAATTTTTTTTGTATATAAAAAATCTTAAAATGATTTACTTAGTTAATTTTAGACACATTTTTTATTCGATAAGATACTACCTGTCTGTATTAGATCTAAATGCAAAATGCAAAGACATTAATAGAATTATTAAATCTTTAATTTGTTATGTTTGATACAGATGTCCGAGGTGTTCCCAGCTTTTGGATATTGATGTGATATTTACTACAGACTTTCAGACCATCATACTTCAGGTAATTTGTTGTAACAGTTATATTAACTAATTATTGAATCAATTGATTTTTAGTCTTTCTGTTAATGATATTTCCTTGACCTTTGACTTATTCAAGAATCAGTTGACTTTTACCCTTTCTTATGACCTTTTAGACATTTCTCTGACCTTTTACTAGTTTAGGAGTCACCTGACCTTTACCCTTTCCTGTGGCTTTGAGACATTTCCTTGGCCGTTGTCTAACTTAGGAATGACTTGACCTTTAACCTTCTTGCGACCTTTGTGACATTTCCCTGACCTTTGTAGGTGTCTGTGCCAGAGTTCACAACCAGACTTGTGGAGGTGTTGGAGGACACTGTGACTATGATGGCATCTGTTGATCGCATCGCTATGGATGTGGCTGCAGTACTAGACAATGTTGGACAAGATGTATACCTAGCCAATCAGGTACGAGTATAGTGAGCTAATTCTGATGTCAAATATATGTTTTATGTAGGTATTTGACTTTTTGATGTTATCAACATGAAAAACATCTTACATGTTCCTGGTAAAATTTTCTGGTCAGTTTTTGGTCACATATGATTGTTTTCTATCTCTAGGATTGTCCTGGAAGTTTTGGAGTGTGCCTTACAGACCATGATCTTGTCTACCTCCTGGACAACAAACAACAGTTTCGTGCACCCACCCAGTTTCTGAAGGTATTTTAACATGTACACTACAATTGACACTTATGAATAACATTGTCAATACATTTTCTCTGTCAGTTATACTACTGTTATGTAATCACATATACATGTTTGATATCCCATGGACTTCAACATTTCCGACATTCCATCTGTGGTTAAACTCTTTTTATGCGCTCTGAAGGAAGGGCATATAGTTGCTGCTTTTCTGTCTGTCCAGCTGTCGGTCAAAAATTTTGTCCAGAACATAACACAAAAACTATAAGAGGCATCAACATAAAACTTCATTAAAAGATAGATCTCAATAAGGAGAAGTATAGTGCACCACAGCCATCACTCCCTTTTGCATAATCTAGGAGTTATAGCCCTTTGTTATTTTTCATACTTGAATTTTGTCTGGAGCATTACACTAAAGTTATAAGAGGTATCATCATGAAGTGTCATAGGTAGATAGATCTCATGGAGAAGGAGGGCAGTGTGTAAGAGTCATAACTCTCTTATTGCCCTTTCTAATTTTTTACACTTATTGCCTGTTTCCTCTTGTTTACTTTCTTCCACCTTATAATGCCTCTTTCCCTCCTCTCCTGTCCAGCAAGACTGATTATTAATGGACACAACTTGTGTTTTGATATGTGAAATACTTGTAGATTTAATTCTGAATTGTGTTTGTAATTACATGTTGATTTCTGTTACAGATTTATCCTCATCTAAAATCTAGTCAGTATGCAGGTGTCATAAACAAACTGCGACAAACCTCCATACTGTCCAGATCTGGGTCACTACATCAACTCAGTGGTGTAGAACTTTCAACCAATGACAAGCAGTCGATATGTCACATGACTTCGGACCTCCACTCACTGTTGACAAGTATGGAGAATAGTTACCTGGATGACAGAAGTGACCAAGGTCCAACACTGGAGGAAAAAGTTGTACAGAGGTCAGTGTCACATGATGTCAATTTTTAGGTTGTCTGACCCGAAGGTTCAGGATGACAATAGCTATTGTGCTTCGGTTGTCGTTATGTGTTGTGTGCCTTGTGCGGTCTGTTGTGCAACCTCTGCCGTGCATAAAGTTTCCATTCAAAGGACTTTTTCTCAATACCCAAAAAGAGCTACCAAGTTTGATAAAATGAATGACTTTGACCTATTTCCAAGGTCAAAAGTGTCAAATATGTCGAAATCTATAAATTATTTCTTATCAGTAAACTAAAGTCTTAGGATGCTGATATTTTGCCTGTGTTATGCTGGGATGAAGGGTTACAAATGTGTTAAAATTTTCTAATTTCTCAGAAACAAAAAGGTCCAGGCTGTTGATATTGGTTCTTTAATAGATGAGTAGATGAAGGGCTGTAGATCTGTTCAAATAATTGACCTTGACCTATATTCAATATCTCTTGGGTAAAGTGAAATTTCTGTTTCAACAACCAATAGGTATGAAGTAATGGCATTTGTGTATTAGCATGTATAAAAAAATGTTTTGAAGTTTGCAGAAAATGTTTTTATGAACCAATGTTGTTTTCTTGTAAGCTGTAGTGTAGTTGAGCAATTTATTTTAGGCCTATTTCATATATAGGTGTTTATAGTCAGAGGACCCTTAAGGCCCATGGACCTCTTATGTATACTCTACATCAATTTTTGATAGGAGGATAGTGAAATACATAGCATAATGTCCCTCTTTCTTTCATTAAGATTTGTAGGGTTTGTTATAGTTGCATGTAGTTATGTTTTCTAAAGTGACATTTTGGTTAGACAGTTGTCTTGCTTTTCCCTACTTTCATGCAAACCAGTGGATGTTGCTAAAAAAACAGTATTTGTTGTGCCTGTTTTGTTTAATTTCCAGCGCTGTTGCTAATTACTACAATGATGTTATTTAGGAGAAGTTGTCTTTTAAATCATATCACTCAGTTTACAAAGATAGGTTGGTAAGAATAGTCTTGAGCTCATTTTATTTAAAATCACTGTAAGATATTTGATATAGATATATAAAAATGTGTTTTTATGTGTCATTTTTTCCCTGGTTTTCACCATTGTAAGATTGTATGTTCCAGGCCACGAGCCCCAGTACAGCCTCCATTACAGAAAGCTCCCACAGGTAGGTGTTGCTTACCAAATGTGTTAAATTTTTATATCATCGAAGACCAGAGTATTGAATCATGTTTTTAATAATCTCTCTTTTAGAGAATGACTTCAGTTATTGTCATATCTAAGCAAACTGGCAGTTGCTTACCGAAATTTGAATTTAAATATTCATGTTTCCATTTTTCAAAAGGGAGACCTGGGCAGCTGGACTGTAGTAATGGTAAGATTTCTAGCATATGGTCATTTGTGAAATGCTTCTACTACTGAAACCTGTGAGAATCTAGTTGTCTCCCTTTTGTGTCAGGATGCATGTGTTGTCTCCTATGTGTATCTAATAATTAAAACCAAAGTGAGTTTTCTTCCTTTTATATCTGTTCATGACATCAAACTGCAAGAATTTTTGCCATTTGAGTAGATGTGTCTCTTTCATCTATAACAACAAAGTATAATTAACTGATGTCTCTTGATATGAAATGAGAATGAGTTGTCTACCCTTTCTTTCAAGCAATACTATACAACATTTTGTCTTTTTGATGTAAATATCATTTTACATAAGTTGTCTCCCTTATGATTCTCTTTGTTACCCAGCATTTACATATACGCCATGTATATTTTGTTTGTTTCTTGCTTCCAGAAATGAAACCCACTTGAATTGTCTCCCTTGCATGCAGATAAAAACTTTAATGAGATATTACTCCTTTTATCCTTCCCAGACCCGAGAGATGCACCTTACCTCTCAAGCATCCAAACCATCCCAGAACTCTCTCTAACACCGAACTTTGACCCCAGTCACCTGACCTATCATGCTGAGGTGGACTATGATATGTTCCTGTTAAGGATAACTGCCAAGGCTCGAAGTTGTAAATATGAGGCAAGAATTGACACCGGTGATAGTAAAGCACAGTAAGTACTGATTTATAACACAAATCATTGGCAGATCCAGAAGAGTCGGAGGGTGGTTGGGGTTTGGGGTTGTACTGTCAGTCTTGTATATCTATCCAACCACCATTACCCTTAATAAGACACTTAGCTCCATCTGTGATTCTCGAAGAAAATGTTCAGTTTTCTTTTGCTTATTCTTGACAAACATAAGGTGTTAAATCTGACATGACAATATATAACAGGGTAACACCTATGAAAGTAGTTCAGCCTTTTAACTAGATATTTTGTAGCTGGACATTGACCTGGTGTGATCAGTGATGAGCTGTCATTTATAACAATGAAGGGTCATTACAGGGAAATCAGTCTGTATCCTTGTCAGTTAGTCCTATAGAGAAGCTGGTGAGAACTGCCGGCTGACACATACCTAACACAGATCTGTCTTTAGGTGTCAGCTGTAAATACTTCATGATATATGGTCACAGATTTATGGACTTTTATCAAATAGTTTAATTTATATCATGTTTAACTGGAAATAAATCCAGAAACATTTTTTTATATTTAATAGAATTACAAGCTAATGTATTTTTCCCCTGCCATTTGGTGAGAAATTTAAGTTAGCTTGTTACAGGACAGCATGGTATATCTATTCCTTGACTGATTATTATATACATATTTCACTGAAACCTTTAGAAGTACTAGTATAGAAAGTCATACAATGAAACAAATATAAAACAAACTGGTAGTCAAAAATCATTTAACGTTTTTAAATTAATAAAAACAAATTTTTTGTCCCTGTATGTATACTAAAGGTCAAGGTCATCATACTATTTTTAGAAATTCCTTGTCAACGCTAGTGGATTCATTCCTTGTGGATTTTGATGAAATTTTACACTCATAGCAATCTTTATTGTATGTAAGTCATTTAACCTCGAGATTTGAAACATTCACAAATTTGTCTTATTCTGAATAAAGTTGTTTATAAAATATCAATGATTTCTGCTGCATATTTAATGGTGTTGCGATGTTAAAAACTCCAGTAAACTTTTGAATTTGAAGGATGACAAACTACACCCTTGGAGTTGGAGATAATCTGGTGCATGTTTTGATCGTGGATCCTGCCCAACCCCAGTCTTGGGTGGTCAGTACCTACACCATCACCATTAGACGACGAGCCTCAGATTTCTACCTGCCAAAGTACTCCAAAAACATGCCACTGCTTACCTGTACCCTCAAACAAGTAAGTTCTCTCACCTGTGCACTGGAAATCTCCCAATGTCTCCCAAGTAAGGTTTGTTGTTTCTGCTGTATATCAAATTAAATTGTCTCCCCTTTAGTGTGAAATATGTGAGTATTCTTCCTTGTACTATCAAACAGGTAAAGTTGTCTCCCCTCTTCTGTTAAACTTGTAAGTTGTTTCTTCTTTATTGTACTCTCAAACTTGTAAGTTGTCTCGCCTGTACCCTCAGACAAAGACTCCTCTATACTCACAGATAAGGTAGATATTTCCCTTGTATGATGTTGTGTTAGATATATTAGTCTACATGTAAAATGTAAATCCTCCTTATATTCAGGACTGCAGTCTGCACTTTGACCCCTCACAGCCTTGTGGCCTACAACCTGTAACAGGCAAGGTTAAACGGTGGTCAGCATTTACAGAGATATCCAGCCATCTACCTCAGTGTGGGGACTCGGACAACCCAGGTAGGTCTAGTCCACTTACATAGATATCCAGTCATCTACCTCAGTGTTGGGACTCTGACAACCCAGGTAGGTCTAGACAGAGATATCCAGTCATCTACCTCAGTGTGGGGACTCCGACAACCCAGGTAGGTCTAGTCCAATAATAGAAATATCCGCAGTCTCCAAACTCACTGTGGGGACTCTGACAACCCAGGTAGGTCTAGTCCACCTACGGAGATGTCCAGCCCCTACCTCAGGGTAGGGATTCAAACAATTCAGACAGTTTGGTCCACTGATAGGGATTTCCAGCCTTCAACCTCAGCGTAGGGATTAGGACATTCCAGATGGTCCACTTAGCAAGATGTCCAGCCCCATCAGTGTAGGGACTCATATTTGATAATAGCCTTTATTTCTTGAATTAAATTGAAAAAAACTTTTTTTTATCTTAAACAATATTTCCTTACATCATCTTTAGATCTGGAGCATTAGTTCACCAGACCAGAAAGCCACAGAAAATTTCTTTAGAATGAGATAAGATAAAGTTGTTTTTTGTTTCCAGTGTGGTATGTACCATGCGAGAACTGCCGAAAGATGTCCAGTTGTTATTGGAAACAGGCCCGTTGGCAGACATCTGGTTGTACATCCCAGTTCCTGAGTGCTCCCCAGGTCCAGAAGTGTTTAGCAGGACGGAAGTTACTATTCATCGGAGATTCAACAAATCGTGGGATTCTTCACTACATTTTAGAACGGATCAATGGCTCACTGACTCAGTGGGACAAAACGCACAATCTCAAAATATACCGTAATGTCAACAACAATTCCACAGTACTCAGCTTCGCATACTACCCACAGTTCTGGCTACCAACAGACCACAGACCTGCGTTTGATAAGGCTGTGTACCAAATCATCAGATCGTAAGTTTGATAAGTCTGTGTACCAATTCATTACGTTGTAAGTTTGATAAGTCTGTGTACCAACTTATTACATTGTAAGTGTGATAAGTCTGTGTACCAACTCATTACATCATATGTTGATAAGTCTGTGTACCAACTCATTACATTGTAAGTGTGATAAGTCTGTGAACCAACTCATTACATTGTGTGATAAGTCTGTGTACCAACTCATTACATTGTAAGTGTGATAAGTCTGTGAACCAACTCATTACATTGTAAGTTTGATAAGTCTGTGTACCAACTCATTACGTTGTAAGTTTGATAAGTCTGTGTACCAACATTACATTGTAAGTGTGATAAGTCTGTGAACCAACTCATTACATTGTAAGTTTGATAAGTTGTGTACCAACTCATTACGTTGTAAGTTTGATAAGAAAATTTCTTGTAAGTTTGATAAGTCTGTGAACCAACTATTACATTGTAAGTTTGATTTGTGTACCAACTCATTACATTGTAAGTGTGATAAGTGTGTACCAACTCATTACATTGTAAGTTTGATAAGTCTGTGTACCAACTCATTACATTGTAAGTGTGATAAGTCTGTGTACCAACTCATTAAGTATTATAAGAAAGTGTACAAATAATAAAATAGTAAGTGTGATAAGTCTGTGTACCAACTCATTACATTGTAAGTTTGATAAGTCTCTGTACCAACTCATTACGTTGTAAGTTTGATAAGTCTGTGAACCAACTCATTACATTGTAAGTTTGATAAGTCTGTGTACCAACTCATTACATTGTAAGTGTGATAAGTCTGTGTACCAACTCATTACATTGTAAGTTTGATAAGTCTGTGTACCAACTCATTACGTTGTAAGTTTGATAAGTCTGTGTACCAACTCATTACGTTGTAAGTTTGATAAGTCTGTGTACCAACTCATTACGTTGTAAGTTTGATAAGTCTGTGAACCAACTCATTACATTGTAAGTTTGATAAGTCTGTGTACCAACTCATTACATTGTAAGTGTGATAAGTCTGTGTACCAACTCATTACATTGTAAGTTTGATAAGTCTGTGTACCAACTCATTACATTGTAAGTGTGATAAGTCTGTGTACCAACTCATTACATTGTAAGTTTGATAAGTCTGTGTACCAACTCATTACATTGTAAGTGTGATAAGTCTGTGTACCAACTCATTACATCATATGTTGATAAGTCTGTGTACCAACTCATTACATTGTAAGTGTGATAAGTCTGTGTACCAACTCATTACATCATATGTTGATAAGTCTGTGTACCAACTCATTACATTGTAAGTGTGATAAGTCTGTGTACCAACTCATTACATTGTAAGTGTGATAAGTCTGTGTACCAACTCCTCAGGTCTTAAGTTTGATAAGTCTGTGTACCAACTCCTCAGGTCGTAAGTGTGATAAGTCTGTGTACCAACTCCTCAGGTCGTAAGTGTGATAAGTCTGTGTACCAACTCATTACGTTGTAAGTTTTATAAGTCTGTGTACCAACTCATTGACTTTTTAGGTCATCTGACCCAAAGGGTCAAGATGACCTATAGCCATCGTGCTTCGTCCATCGTCGTCCGCCGTGCGCCGTGCGTAAACTATTCATTCAAACAACTTATTCTCAAATACTAGAAGGTCTAGGGGGCTAATACTTGGCACAGAGGATACTGGCATGGAGCTCTACCAAGTTTGTTCAAATGAATGACCTTGACCCACTTTCAAGGTCACAGGGGTCAAATATGTTAAAATATACAAACGACTTCTTCTCAACAAGCAAAAGTCCATGAGTGCTGATATTGGGCCTGTAAGATGCTTGGAGAAGAGGCTACCAAGTTTGTTCAAATGAATGACCTCAACCCACTTTCTAGGTTTGGCTTGCTTTTTGTCAGATGACCGTTAAGGTCCATGGGCCTCTTGTTATATGTAGATGGCATTCATGTTGATAAGGTTACCAATATTGCAAGGTGCAGGTCATATTAGCTCATTAATCATGAATTTAAAATAATTTCTAGATCAACACTTGCAAATCATGTACTCGCCAATATGTCTGTAAAGGTAAGTTCACTAGATAACGTATTTGTGGAACTTCATTGATATGCAGTATTGGAGTCTAAGGAAAAAAGGTTTGCTTGGTGTAGAAATTTGTCAGATGATATCTAGGTATGGGACGAAGACAGAGTTAAATTTTATAAATATCAATGAAAATAGATCATTATATTTAAATGTAACACTTGTTTTTATTGTGACAGGACAATGCCATTAGAGAATTCAACCAACACAGTACTGGTGGTAGGAGGTGTCCACTGGCTGGGCAAACACCATCTCTCTCTTATACTCCAGGCCTTAAACAGGTACGTAGTCTTATCCACTCAATACTGGTGGTAGGTGTCCACTGGCTGGGCAAACACCATCTCTCTCTCTTATACTCCAGGTCTTAAACAGGTACATAGTCATATCATCTGTAACTCAGTTGCGACCAGAAAATCTTCATTTTGTTTTATTGAATTTTCTAACATTTGTCCCACAATAAAAGGTATAAACACACTTTTGGGATGTCTAAAAATTGAAGGAAAGCAATTTTATATCATAATTATTACACGATTTGTTATAATTATTAAAAATTATATAATTATTTCTTTTTCAAAAAACTTTTATAATATCATGGTACAAATATGAATGTTACAATGGTTTCGTCAGAGAATATGTATGGTCATATATTCATTTATGAATTTAATATCTAATTTGATATTTAAAATCACCCAGGGAAAGGCTCACTGGCATCAGGCTTGTAATGAAGGGACTGGGTGCTGGCTTCCATCAGCTTGTTAATGGAGTTCGCTTTGCACCAATGGTAAATATATTTGATATACCCAAGACATGAAAGATGTACCAGAGATTGTGATAGATCAACGTAAACTCAACATGTTCTCTGTTTTGGTGTTAAGCCTTGATTGATGAAAGAGTTATCTTTCCTTAACGAAGACATACATGTTGATCTGAACACAACTTGATGTTATCAAAAAAAGTTAAATTGTGATGGATATATCTATGTAAATGTATGGTACTTATCTGTAGAAATAAATCTATGCCTAGCATATTAGGCCCAACAATATCTATTGCTGTGCATTAGCATTATCAACAAGTACTATTTCATTTCCCCATTATAAGATCACCCTGTGACTTTGAGTCAGAAATAATCTATTAGTCACGGATTTCCTGATGAACTGTATGAAGAAATAATGAGAGATGAAATTCTATTGTAGGAAGAACAGCGACGACTGCTGGGCCAGGAACGTGAGACTGCACAGTTTGCAACCCAGCATGGGTTTGGGGTTGTACCTACCTACAACATGACAATGGCACGATACAAAGACTTCCTCCAGGGCAAATGTGCCTGCCACTTTCATAAGGTCAGTATATTAGGGAAAAGTGGGTATATCACTGCTCTGATGACCAACCTTTTATTTGATAAACTGTTGTTGTTTTGTTTCCATTACCAACATGGGGGAATGATATCTTACACCTCAAGGCATTAAAACAGTAACAAGCTCTGCAAGGAAACACCGGGAAGCAAGATGGTTTGTTACGAGCCAAAATAAATAGGATTTCTTGGCATTTTTACTGAATTGTGTTTTATGCTTAATACCCGACAAGGATTAATAGCCAAGTGAAGAGCAAGTGTTTTCTTACACTTACACAAAAGTTATATTTGTTGTATCAATCCTCTGATCGTTATTGGGTTAATTTAATCAGGTAAATGTTTGTATTGACAGATAACAGAAAAGTATGCTGTCCCTACGGATGAAATGCCTTCTTATCATGTGGAAGGTGATATAAACAGATGGTACTCTGAACTAGTTATCAACCAAATCTGTCAGCACCGTGCACCAGACTGAGTACACACGACGCCCTACGCAGTACATACTACAATACTCAAATCTGGAGTTGTCTGCTCCTGTTCTTCATGAAGAGCTAGTTGAGGAGTATTCCTGATGACATAATTTGCTTTATCTATTTATTTGGTAATACCGTCCAAATAACTTTCCTGTTGGACCAAAGATATTCATGAAACCAGTACTGATATGGAAGACTGCTATTGTGTCTGGGGGAAACTCACCAAACACTTTGAGACTACTGGCTATTTTCTCCTGATGGTCGTCTTTCTTAACTGTCCTTGCCACCAGTAAATTCTCCATTTACAACTATACTAAGGACTCACCTGAGTAGCAACTTGTCAACCACGAGTCTAATTGCTGCCGAGAAGAGAGAATTAACGGCCATTAGTAGAGATTATTGACATATGACTTTTACACTGTAACAGCTCAACAGTTTGAATTAGGACCAGTTTAAACAGTTATTTTAATATATCTTAGTTTTCTTTAATTGACTTTAAAATTTATAAGAACAGTAGTGGATGGAGAAAAGATTCATAAATTTTAGCAAAATGTATAGATGTGTTACCTCTAACCGACAAGTCGCAGGAAATTCATGTATGTTTTTCTTCTTTTATTTTAACAATTATGTTTTCAAATTACTAGTGACCTTTTTATACCAAATTGCAAAATTGGTTTTACTTAAACTGTATTCAGAGTGCAATTGTTTTTTAATTGAAGCCACACAATAGGCATACCTCTCTCCTTTTCTGAGCATTGTTTGAACTGAAACGGGCCAAAATATACTTTTTTGAATTATAATACTATAGAAGTAACTGTAGCTAGTAATCTGAAAGGTTTAATGTGTGATCTTGTTCTGTCTTTGTCGGAATCACAAGATAAATTACAGATTACAGTCAATATCCAGATAACCACACTTGTTAACAGTCTCTGGGAGACTGGTATAGATATATTGTTAGGGTACTGGTATTTAGAAATGGCACTTATACATTGTGGTCTGTTTTTCCTACTTTCTGATTTAATCTGTAATTTCTTGACAAAGGTCCAACAACAATAGACGATACTTATGTATATTATATACATCAAGTGGTCAAGTAGACTTGTTGGAATCATCCTGCTCCATTAGAATTAAACAGAATTTTTCATTGGCTGAACAAGGGATCATCCTGTTCTTTGTGAATGTTACGGCAAATTTCATTGGCTAAATAAGGAAATTACATTCAGATCCATGTATTTGTTAATTACAGGTAAATTGTAATTAACCCATGATATTGTTTCACAAGGCAGCTTGTAATAATGTGACAGTGTTAGATTTAAGGATATTATTATACTTAATAAAGTTAGAAGTATAAATGTATCATTTTTGACAATTTTTCCTTTTAAAAGAAGTACAAATTGGATCTCCTTCAGCTGAAGTGTTGATCTGATCTGTTACGTAAAACTTAGGTAAAAATTCACTGACGTTAAGGTACACCCATCTGTTTTGAGACATGTATCAGTTAAATTACTATTTATACACATGTTGTTGGATAGATTAAGAAAATTATCATTCTAAGTGCTATATTGTTGTTCTTCCTGTCGGTATTGATAACCATTCATGCATGAATGGTTTGGGTATCAATAATTTTTTTTCTAACTATGCATTTACTTTTTTTTATATGATACAATTTTTACATAATAATTACATGATTTTAAATATTTATTTTTTTATCACTCAATAGATATCTTGTTATATATAATAACTGTTACCAGAACAAGACATTTTTGTATATTAATCATGTTGGATTCAAGTAATTGAAATTTGTATACAGGCTGTAAATCAATGAAAACAAAGCTCAAGACTACTGTCATACATTGAATACTGTTTGTGTTATAAGTGTTACTTAATACATTGTAAATGTAGAAATTCTGTTCCATTGAAATATGATATATGTTACTTTTACCATTATATATTTCAGTCACAGCTAAGACATACAGCCAAAAAAGTTTGATTTTAGATTTAAGAATGAACATGGAAGCAGTGTCTTTCTTAGCAAAAACTTCTGATTGTATGAACAGATTTATTTATAAAAACTGGTGGATGTATTTCAACTTATGCAAGATTTATGAAAGTAAGATTATTTTTTCTCTCTGAAAAGATCCCGTATGTGTCCTTATTTATTGAAATTTATACCATCTGTGCCTATCTAAATCATACAAGATATTACAACACCTGAAACTGACAATTAATATGTTTATCACATATATTTATTTATTTCATATTGAAGTACAACATCTGAACCATTTTGTTTAATCTGAAATCTAGTCACCATTTCTATGTATGTTATGATGTAGATAACTAATTTATTTAAACATGTATTTCATCAACACACATAGTAAAGCCTGATTGAGTCAAATATTTGCCACTAATGATTATTATCAATATCCAGCCCTTTGCAGTAGCAACAAAGTGTAATCAAATTTTGTAACTTCAATGCAGAACTCGTGTTGTCCTTTGATCCTGGCCACTGTCAGCAGTAAAATATATTCCTCTGTTATTTTGAATGGATCCTTGTCCCAGCCATTTCCATTCATCTGAGACTATGAGGTCTCTAGTTGGTCATTCTGACTCAAACAGGTTTTATTATCATTCTAAATATATCAATTTGTAAAGTATCCTCTACCCTGTTGTGTTCAATAAATTCATCACTTCAGTGCAATGAGAACAAGTTGAGACCAGAAAATATTGAGAATTTTCAGGGGCTAATTTTCTGGGTTCAGAACTTGCTAACATTTAACCAATTTGACAAAGATATCTTGTACACAACTTTTCATGGGATTCAGTGTGACGATGACAGCTTGGTACATACACTGTATCATACCCTAGTGAGACTTTTTAATACCAGAGTTGTCTTTCACTTTCATTTTTAGTTAATACTTTGTGAAAACTGTCTTGGGATCCTATATGATGAAATACAATCCTTAGTCTGCAGTCATCATATTGTGGGCTGTTTCAAATCTCTCAACTGTGGTTTATCATCCTGTCCTCAAACAGTACTTGTTATCACTATTTCTTGAGAAGTGCTAGATGCATCACTCTTGAATTTTTTTTCCTGGGTCCGAAGTAGTGCACATTCAATTTTGGAACTGATCATAAGAAATTGATTGACAGGTGGCTATATTGGATTTTAATAGCCTAATTTGTTATCTCTTTATCTTAGAATTACATGTACTGGACAGATCAAACAGGTTCTCTCTTGTATATTTAATTAGTTTTGTATTGGCCATCTTGTATTAAGATGATAATTGGCTATAGCAACATCTTGAGAAGTTCTGGACGAGTCAGTATCTAATTTGTTATGTAGGTTCCTTTTGCTCCCGAGTTGTTGGTTTTTAACTGATATTTTGAGGAATGGTAAAGAAGAGAAACAATCTCGCTGATAAAGAACTAATGAAGATCCTACTATGATGGGTGACAAGATCTCTCTTGGAGCATTCAAAGATCATACCAAAAATGGTGGGTGACAAGATCTCTCTTGGAGCATTCAAAGATCATACCAAAAATAGTGGGTGACGAGATCTCACTTGGAGCATTCAAAGATCATACCAAAAATGGTGGGTGACAAAATCTCACCTGGAGCCCTCAAAGATCATAACAAAAATAGTGGGTGACAAGATCTCTCTTGGAGCTCTTAAAGATCATAACAAAAATAGTGGGTGACAAGATCTCTCTTGGAGCTCTTAAAGATCATACCAAAAATGGTGGGTGAGAAGATCTCTCTTGGAGCTCTTAAAGATCATACCAAAAATAGTGGGTGACAAGATCTCTCTTGGAGCTCTTAAAGATCATAACAAAAATGATGGGTGACAAGATCTCTCTTGGAGCTCTTAAAGATCATAACAAAAATAGTGGGTGACAAGATCTCTCTTGGAGCTCTTAAAGATCATAACAAAAATGATGGGTGACAAGATCTCTCTTGGAGCTCTTAAAGATCATACCAAAAATGGTGGGTGACAAGATCTCTCTTGGAGCTCTCAAAGATCATACCAAAAATAGTGGATGACAAGATCTCTCTTGGAGCTCTTAAAGATCATACCAAAAATGGTGGGTGACAAGATCTCACTTGGAGCCCTCAAAGATCATACCAAAAATGGTGGGTGACAAGATCTCACTTGGAGCCCTCAAAGATCATACCAAAAATGATGGGTGACAAGATCTCACTTGGAGCCCTCAAAGATCATACCAAAAATGGTGGGTGACAAGATCTCACTTGGAGCATTCAAAGATCATACCAAAAATAGTGGGTGACGAGATCTCACTTGGAGCCCTCAAAGATCATACCAAAAATGGTGGGTGACAAGATCTCACTTGGAGCATTCAAAGATCATACCAAAAATAGTGGGTGACGAGATCTCACTTGGAGCCCTCAAAGATCATACCAAAAATAGTGGGTGACAAAATCTTTCTTGGAGTTCTTAAAGATCATAACAAAAATAGTGGGTGACAAGATCTCTCTTGGAGCTCTTAAAGATCATAACAAAAATGATGGGTGACAAGATCTCTCTTGGAGCTCTTAAAGATCATAACAAAAATGATGGGTGACAAGATCTCTCTTGGAGCTCTTAAAGATCATAACAAAAATAGTGGGTGACAAGATCTCACTTGGAGCCCTCAAAGATCATACCAAAAATGGTGGGTGACAAGATCTCACTTGGAGCATTCAAAGATCATACCAAAAATAGTGGGTGACAAGATCTCACTTGGAGCCCTCAAAGATCATACCAAAAATGGTGGGTGACAAGATCTCACTTGGAGCCCTCAAAGATCATACCAAAAATGGTGGGTGACAAGATCTCACTTGGAGCATTCAAAGATCATACCAAAAATAGTGGGTGACGAGATCTCACTTGGAGCCCTCAAAGATCAAACCAAAAATAGTGGGTGACAAGATCTTTCTTGGAGTTCTTAAAGATCATAACAAAAATGTTGGGTGACAAGATCTCTCTTGGAGCTCTCAACAAGAGGCCCATGGGCCTTAACGGTCATCTGACAAAAAGCAAGCCAAACCTAGAAAGTGGGTTGAGGTCATTCATTTGAACAAACTTGGTAGCCTCTCCTCCAAGCATCTTACAGGCCCAATATCAGCACTCATGGACTTTTGCTTGTTGAGAAGAAGTCGTTTGTATATTTTAACATATTTGACCCCTGTGACCTTGAAAGTGGGTTGAGGTCATTCATTTGAATAAACTTGGTAGCCTTTCCTCCCAGCATGCTACAGACCCAATATCGGCACTCATAGACTTTTGCTTATTGAGATGAAGTCCTTTGTATATTTTAACATATTTGACCCCTGTGACCTTGAA